ATTCCACCTGCTTCTAACATTGCTGTAATAAAAGTATTATATGTCACAGTATCAAGTTCCAAACCATCTTGCAAACTCTGGCATATGATGCCTTCTGCCTCATGATGTTTCCCTGGAGAAAAAGGTTAATCTTATCAGGCATCAACATTGACACAGGATATTCACGTAACTGCATGCTTAAAACAAAAAAACAAAAACATAAGACCCTCAAATTTCTTGACTTCCCAGAGAAAAGTAAAAAGTGAATACATACACACCTAATTAGATGAGAACACTAAACAAAACCATACCAAAGTAGAATTTCAAAGGGAATTTTCATCTGTCTTTAGACTTTTCAACTTAGAATGCAAAATAATATCCAAGAAGAAATGCTTTTTAAGAAAATCTACTAGAATTTTAGGATGATATTAATGGTGAACTACAAAGTTGATACAATGATGATATGCATCATTAGACTGGATTGTTTGAAACCAATCTAAAGGCTCTAGTCTGATCATCCCACAAGATTTAATAAGAAATGATTAGCAGTCTTAAATTCATACCACAACTAGTCAAAGAGTTGACAACTTTTCTGATGGTAACAGCACCCAGATCATGCCCTTTCTCAGTTGCCATTTTGTATGGGGAGAATGTCTCCTCAGGCTTACAACATTTCACATATGCATCAATCATTGAGTTAAATATTAATTTCCCACAACTAGGAGAATCTGCTGCTGCATTGAAGACCACTTGAGCCTCCTTTAGCATCTTTTGCTTCCCATATAGGCTAATCAAAGATGCAACTGCTTCCTCATCCAGTCTAAAAACCAGCTTGATAATTTGATCATTAAGTGCTTCTGCCTTAGATATATCACCTATTTCAGAAGCCCAATGGAAAACCTGATTAAATCAATGCAAAAGATTTTCTTTCTATATGAATAAAACAATGCAAAAGATTGCTGCCCCAACTTTACAAATGCTACTAAAACATACATCATAAGGAAACCTATAGAAAGACACTTCTAAGAATAAGCAATTGCACTAGGAATCAAAGAGAACCTAATTAAAATCTGTATTAAAGTAAGAAAAATAAGCATTCAATCAACACCCACACCTTTTAGGAATTTGTGAGCTAGTTGAATCACTACAGAGATGCTTACAGCAGTCTCCAGCAACACTTTCAGGATTTCTTCAATCTTACTAAATTCCTTACATGACGAATAGAGGCCAAGAATCAATCCAAGAGCCATTGTATCAAGTTTCTTGGAAGTCATGAGTTTGCCATCAGCTTCTTCATGTCTGAGGTATCTACCATTCATAACCCAATATAATGTTTGAATGAATTTATTATCCTTGTAAGATCCATCAGTACCCATCTCTCCTATCAACTGCTCAGCATCTTTCAGCAGTCCATCATTGCTATATACTTTTATAACTGTCTTGAGAAGAACTTCATCAAAAACTACACCATCTTTCCTCATCTGGGCAATAAAATCCTTGGCTTTTTCTTTTCGGTCCAGTTTCATATACAAACTGAGCATGTCATTGCAAGAAGAAGCATCAGGAAGCCCAGTCTTGGATAGAGCCTGAAATGTAACTTCAGCAGAGTCCAAGTCTCCTTTCATGACATAACAGCGCAACAAAACTATGTAAGCATATCTTGAGAACCAAATATTCCTAGACTTCATTTCTTCAATAATATCCAAAGCTTTCTCAATGTTTCCTGAATTAAGATGGACTTGTGCCATTGCTAAGTATGTTTTCTCATCATTAAGCAGGCCAAGGCACTGAATCTCTTCAAATGCATACTGGGCATCCTGAAAAAGTCCAAGTTTACCATATATTCTAATAAGCAAGCCATATATGACCTCATCAACTCTAATTTTATTCTTCTTCATTTCAGAAAAGAGAGATAGAGCTCTCGAATAATCCTCTTTTTTATAACAAAAAGTTAAAAGTGAAGCACATGTGTAGTTACTTGGAACTATTCCTCTTGATCCCATGTCGTCATATAATCTTAATACTTCCTTCCAGTCACCATATTTAGCACTTAAACTGATAAGCATGCTATAGGTTACTTCCTCAGGCAAGAAACCAAGTTTTTTCATCTCATCAAAAGTCTTGAAAGCCTCTTCATGAAGGCCCCTTTTAACAAGTGAGCTAATGACTACTGAATAAGTAAAAGTATTAGGAGCCACCCCTTTATCAATCATCTGTCTCCACAAATCTATCACCTTGCCATGGAGTGATTTCTTCTGCAAAGAAGAGAGCATAAAATTGTAAACTGAAATTGCAAGTGGAATCCTTCTTGCTTGTGTGGCAGAGTAAAATGAGAGCATGGCCTTAAGATGTCCCCATCTAGCATATGTACAGAGCATGGTACCACAAGCTACTTCATCCGGTTCACACCCTACTTCTAGCATCTCTAAGAAGGTCTGTTCAGCCAGCATGATCTTCCCGACTTGCCCATACATGCGCAAAACAATTGTATAAACAATTACACTTGCACGATAGCATAACTGTCCAAGCACAAGTCAGTCATTATACTATAATAATCCCCATTTTTGGTCTTAATAACATGAAGCTTTTCTAATAACATAAAGCTTTTCAACTACCATATGAAAGCCAACTATGCAGCAAATGATACCATTTCTTAAGCTATTCAACCAGATAACTTTGTAGAAATATAACCAATAAAAATTCAAATAACATTATAATAGTAATCATAGCTTTAGAAAATGGTAAAAAAATTGTTTTTCTTCTGCTCTGTTTCAACCCATTGCCAAAGCCCTTAAAAATCAGTATTAGTAATAAGATTAAACGTTACTACTTCTGCAGTCTGGAAATAGTGAATTTAACAACAATTACTATCAATGCTGGATCAAATTAGGCTGGCGAATGGGTAGTCATTTAACATTAGGAAATATATATTCCTCTCAATTTCAGTGACATAAGAAAAGAACAATAGAAATTAGGACAGAAGACCATAAACTTATTAAAAGTTAGAAGCATTAGAAATAAAACTATACTGCCAATCATACACAAAAACAAATTTCCCACACAAAAGCGCAGAAGAAAAGCACATGGAAGTACAAACAACCCAATACCTGCAATTTCATCCAAGCAAAGAAGTCCCTGACCTGTCTCCACTCTTTCTGCTCCTTCAACACCACGCACATCTCCCTAAAACTCAACTTCCCCACAAAACTACTCATCACGATCCTCACATCACACTGACCCTCCCTTTTCTTCGCCATACCCCTGACTGCTTTTATCGCAGCCACTACATGCTTCCCATACAAATGTCCATTCTTGTCATCCTCCAAGTACTGCACCATCTGCTCAGGAGTTCTCTTTATCCATTTCGGGGTCATGGCACATGAGTATTGGTTCCTCCTTAACACACTCATATTCTGAGCCTTTTTCCTGATTATTCGACGGGCGTTGTCGCGGGGGAGTGGGTTCTTGGGGTTTTTGATTCTGGGTTTTGGTGTTGTGTGGTCTCCATCGCTGAGGGACCAGGGGTTTGGTCGCATGGAGGAAAGAATGCGAATGTTGGCGTTTCTCGCTGAAAGTTTTGCCTGTGAATATGAAGGAAGAAGGTGATTGGTGTTGGAGAAGAAAGATGACCTGAGGGAGTCCATTGGTTATTTATTCTGTATTACCTATAAAGAATAGCTTCTGGATAAAGTTAAAAGAGCTTGATAGTTAGAGTGGCATAAGAAATTTCTGTATGTTTAAAGGGAAAATGAAAACTTTCTCGAGAAAATTATGGGTTGCCTCCGCGGAATCTGTGGGGTGACCCAGGCCATTGGAAGTGGGGTGAGCTTTCCCTGCTTCAGCGCTACGAATGACTGGTGGGAATGGAGACTAGAGGATGGAGCATGGATAAGGCACATTCTACATTGTTAAAATAAATAAAAATAGTAAGCATTCCCTGTTGTGCCCGCATGGTGCCGGTGCTGCCCAAAAACGCAGCTGGTGAAATGCATTTTGATTTTAGGTTTAATATCTCTTATAATAGATACTCACTTATTAATTTAATTAACTTTTCAGTTAAAATAAAATAAAATAAAATAAAAATAGTAAAAAATAAATAAGTTAAAAGATTTATGTAACATGAAAATATTTTTTTAATGTTAATTATTATTAAAATATGAAATTTAATATTTATTTAATTAATATTAATTAAAATAATATATTTAGTATTAATAATAAAACTAATGTCAACTTCTATTATTATCTATATTAATTAATATTAAAAAAGTATATTAATTAACATTAATT